CGATTCTCATAGATACCGGATAAGCACAAAAAATTTCATCAAAATCGGTTAAGCCGTTTCGGAGGAGTATGGGAACGAAAACTGTGACACGAGATTTTTATATATATATAGATATATATATATATATATATATATATATAAATATAAGAATACATACATACGTAAAACGCGTAATCCTTATGATTTATTTCGGAAATAAAACAGCTGTTTCCTTTTTCTTCTTCTTCATCTTCGTTTCGCTATATTCCAGTTTATACTTATACATGAAAGAATAAAAATTTTTCAAGCGAAATCCAAATACAGGGTATACACATATTAGATATTTTATTTGTAAACTCGTATACCTCGTAAATTCTCTTTTATACGAAAAGGACCATCATCCTACGGAGACACGATATTAAATTTAAACAAAAAAAAAACAAAAAAACGATGTTTCAATATCTTTTAATAGGAAAGATAAAAAGATAGAGATTATTAAATGAAATATTTATTTTGAGAAATCTACGAACAATCGGGAATCCTAATTACGATTCTAATTCGAGACACATTCTTTCCCATTCCCTCCTTCCCTCTTTCTTTTAGTCGGTTAGAGAGGAGCGAAGTTTAGACCTTTTTTTTCTTTCACGGATAAAAATCGAGCGACCAAGCCTTTTTCGGGTTGATATTAGCTGCTGGTTTCAGGTTGGCGCCGATGGCAGAGATCCTCCGGCCGCTTTGTCCTAAATGAGCGAAAAGGCCTTTTCATTTTGAATGCACCGCGGAATCTAGGTCAATGCTGGCTACACCCACCACCAACACTACCAACCATCCACCGACACCAACTAACTTGTCTTCTCTTTTCTACATTGCACTCGCTGCAACTTGCACTCTTCTTCTACTACTACTACTACTACTACTACTACTACTAGTTGTCTTCTTTTTCTTTTTTTTCTTCTTCTTACCAACGTCTCGTTGCAAAGTCACTAGCCGGCGGCTTTTCCACTGGAATTCCGGATTTTACAAAAAAAACTGGACACCCTTCTTCCACGGTCATTTTCGATCTGTGACCTTCCCATTCTCGTTTTATCTCATTTCCCTTCGAAGTTCTTAACATTAGTATTTATTATTCTTTTCATTTTTCATAAGGTAGTCACATCACGTTTGTCTCACAGTTCATAAAAGTTTTGCGATTGATAATTATTTTTATCATCTTTCATATCGCTAAAAGCTTTTTTATTTCTTTTTTTCTTTATTTTTCGGCTCGAATTAATATCTTTTTGTTCTATGGAAAAAATTGATTCGAGTGATAGCGAGTACATTATATATCGAATTTCATACAGTTTCTATAAGCTTGTTCAATGGCAATTGAAGATATGTTAAAAAGGATTGAATGCTACATTAAATTTTTCACTGCTCATATAAATAATATATTTCATTTTTCTTCAATTGCTATTTAATGAAAACCTGCTTGTCCCATAAAAATGATAAATGAAAAATACTAAAAAAAGTGACGTCGCACTTTTTACGATTTATGTCATTAATCTTTCATTTTAGTTTTTAATTCGTTTGTATTATATATATATATATATATAAATTACGTGTCACGTTGTTTGTCCGCAATGGACTCTTAAACTACTGAACCGATTTTAATAAAGTTTTGCACATAGTGTGCAGTTTCATCCAACTTGAAAGATAGGATAGTTTATATCTCAATTTATAATCGCAATATTATTTTATTGCGAATTATTTGTTTATTAACAAAGAGTCATGATTATCTCTGTTAGTTCGATAAGATTCTAACAGATGGCGGTAAAAGGGAATTCGTTGACTTAAGGACGTGTGTATCGGACTGATTGTGAGCCATAGCAACGCGTGGCGGGGCACTCCTATATATATATATATCTATCTATAAATAAAATAAAAACAAATAGAAAAGAAAAATATACATAATATTAATTATAATATAAAAGATTGAATTAAAAAATAGGGAAACTTATAAAATAAAAATTATATTACGCTTTGTAGATAGACAAAAGTTCTTATAATAATTCATCATCCTTTTTAATACACTTTGTAGATCTTTCTAGTGAAATTATTTTTATATGAATTTGAATGCGACACGTGCATATTCAGTACACATCGTTATGTTCCTTCGAACGACGTCTCTTCGTGCGTAATTGCCGCTCCTCGTGTTATAAGATACTAAGTGCAGAGAAATGTAACAATTTTGGTAGCTTTAATGAGTACACGTGTTCACCACTAAAATATTTCTCTCTCTCTCTTTCCTTCTCTTTCTCTTTCTCGACACATCTAGAAACATCTCGCAATTTCAACACACTTTACTCTCTTTAACAATATATATATGTATATAGTGTATGTATGTATATTTTTATTGCCCTAAATTACATTAATTCTAACAAACAAAAGAAAAAGAAAATAAAATGAACATTTTTACAAACATAAAAAAAAGAAAGTATATATTTAGGTATTTAATTTTACAACTAACAGAAAATTGTAACTTAAATGAAATTATTGAACAATTGGATACATATATTCGCTATATTTTTCATCTATTGTTTACAAAACATCGAGTATGATAAAATCATTGTAAAGTGTACAATATCAATCTCAATCTCTCAGTATCTTGTTAATAAATCATTTGTTTAAAAAACAACAGGACTAGTTGGGAGAATTCAAGCAGAGTCACAGAAGCTATTGTAATAGGTTTATCCAAGGATGAATAAGGGCTTTCTTTGTGCTTATGCTACGGATTGCAGTTTTTCGAAGCTTATCCCTAGCGTCAAGTTTATTGTGTTTTCTAACAATACACTTCATATGCCTTCTTTTGCTTTCTCCTCTCTCCCTTTATACTTTTAAAAAGAACAGGATAAAGTAAAGGAGAGAAGAAGAAAGAGAGAGAGAAACACTATGTGTATGTTACTCACAATAATAAAAGTTTACTAACTGACGAGTACATCATGTTACGTTAACTATCAAATCTGATTGAAATATTACAGAATGATGGGGATAAAAATAATGTTGGCAGTAAAAAATAAATAGAAAAAAAAAGAAATATGTAGTTTGTAAATTTAAATTAATATGTTTTTTTCTTGAATGGAGAAAAATTCATAACGTAGAAGTATACCGACTGTACAACAAACCGGATATCATTAATGTCGTAAAATTACACCGATTAAGATGGGCAGGTCATGTGACGTTTATGGGTGAGGATTGAATAGCGCATAAAATACTGATCGGAAAAGACCACTGGATAGACCGAGACGTAGATGGGAAGACAATATTAGGAGAGATCTTAAGGAAATAGGCTACGAAAACCGCAAATGGAGGGGTAATGCTCAGGGACGGGAACACTGACGGGATTTAGTATTAGGTCGAGTCATAAATAACTTCCGATGCGGTTATGTAGAATCTATTTTTCGTATTTACCTATTATAAGTCACCGAAACAAACGGATTTTCGATATCACTAGATAGATAAGGATTCAGTTAGCCTTCTGGTAACTTTTTTATGCAGTCAATATTACATTTCACCGTTTTTCTTAACTACTGAAATGGATAGTAAAAAGTGCATATTCGACATGTAATGCTTTAAGAATTGAAACAAGGCAATAGCACTAAAGTGGCAACTGAAAAAATATGCAGCGTATACAGTACAGGACTGATAACTGATAGGGCAATCAGAAATTGGTTTGTAAAATTCAGTTCTGGAGATACGATTTTAAAAGATTAACCGAGTGCAGGATGTATTTCCTGCTTTGACGAATTTTTTAAAGGTAATATTGGAGCAAAATTCAATAGATACGTTGAACAATTGCAAAGAGTGCAAAAAAAACTCCATGAAAGGTGTCTTGCATTTATCAGTCGCAGAAACGCCATTCTTTGTCTCATAAAAAACGGAAGTTATTTATAACTCGACCTAATATTTGCGGCAATCAACTTTCGAGTTCCTAATGCCAATTTAAAATAATAATAATAATGTTTTTTTCTTACATTGGTTTCAGGGCGAAGAGGATGAGCCTCCAGAAGCCTTGGATATGGCCTGGCCTAGTAATTTTAAGAAGAGGATAACTTATATATTAGTAGCACCGATTCTATTTCCTCTATGGCTAACTCTACCAGACACACGAACGCCCAAAGGTATTATTTTATCATTATTTTTATAGACAATTTTATTTTTTGTAGACTTTGAATAATTTATTTCGAAAATTTCACAATGATTTTAGAAATTGTTCATAAAAGATTATAATATTACAATATTTTAACTACAGTATTTGTAATATAATATTAATAATATATATATATATATATATATATATATATATATATATATATACATTAATAATAATGTAAGATACGAGTAGGAGCTTCGAAATAATCGAATAAAGACTCGATTAAGTAGAGTGCACGTGGCTAACATCCTTTATTACGCTCACTATAGTAAATTGTTGCGATCTGCTGAAGGGAGAAAGAGAGTATGTCGTGAGTAATATCAAGATGGAGTGGTTTTACACGAGAAAAAATGTAAAGAAAAGATATATAGATAAAAAGAAAGAGAGAGAGAAAGAGAAAGAGATAATAAAGATTCTTCAATTTTTTTTAAATATTCACATTTAACAAACTATTCCTACTTTTTCGAAATAAAATGTTAAAGACTTGTAATGCAAAAATATGAAAGTATCATTCATTGATGATAAATAATATAATCCCTTAATGTTCGAAGATTACATTAAAACCTATATTAATTGTCTACTTGTAAATAGTAATTACTCTTGATCAAAATTTTGCAGATTCATTTTTTTCAGATTATAAAAGTAGAAGATTGACTAAAAGTTTTAAAAGTATCGAACAAAAGTAATTGATATTTTAAATGATTTATTTAGCCCATCTAGCATAACAAGTATAGATAGTATAACTTGTAATTTTGATTTTAATACGTAGTTTGGAACTTAAATTGTGGCAACTATTTATTCACAACCGATACAAATGAGGTACATGTTTGCACCAGTTACTGTCCTTCAATGTAGTCATCAGCGTTGTGTAGAACCCGTTGCCAGCGATTTGGAAGGCGTAATATACCGTTAGCAGAGCCTGTTCTGTTGATGGTGCGAATGGAGCGGTCTACTGCCTGTCGAATCTCTGGAACAGTTCTGAAGCGAATGCCACGATGGGTTCCACATGAATTGACGGAAATGCAGAAATAGATGCGTTACGACGCTGCTCAGACGCACTTGGAGCGCTATGAGCGCGAAGGAGAAGCTTTCTTATGCCGTATCGTAACACTGAATGAGACATGGCAGTAAACCGCTCTATTCGCACCATTAACAGAACAGGCTCTGCTAATGGTATATTACGCCTTCCACATCGCTGGCAACGGGGTCTACACAACGCTGGTGTCTACTTTGAAGGACAGTAACAGAAGCAAACATGTAAATCTTTTGTATCGGTTGTGAATAAACAGTTGCCACTATTTAAGTTCCAACCTACGTACATGAACTAAGAATACTCTAAATTCTTATAAGTTATACTGTACATAAACAAACTACTACCAATTAAACTAACATAAGTATAAAATAATAAATTTTTTTTTGTTCGGATTTAAATGAAAAATACATAATCCATACAAATGAGTTTAAAATGAAGCATAACAAGTATAGCTATTATAACTTATAATTTTGATTTTAATACATGAACTAATAATACTAAAATCTTATAAGTTATACTATAATTTAACAGACTACTACCAATTAAACTAACATAAGTATAAAATAACACATTTTTTTTATTCGGATTAAAATGAAAAATAAATAATCCATACAAATGAGTTTAAAATGAAGGCATCATACGTGATTAAGTTGAAATATAAATTCAACTCTCGTATTTCGAAAATTACATGCATCAATCACGAATAGAGAAGAGAAACGACACATTATCTGGCATCTATTAATGGCCACAATATTTCGGAGTGACACAATGCTTGCGACGAAAGATGATATTGACGCGCTAATTTCGAATCGGCGCCTGATTGTTGCCCTGATCGACGTATTGTGTGTGTCTATTCAATCGTCCAATGAATCACGTCCCACCATATACCAAACATATAGTATATACATATATACATATATATATATATATATATATATATATATATATTTATTTATTTGTTTATGTATTAACCCATCTACACACACATAAATATAATAAACTCATACTTATTTAAACAAATAGATACATACTTTAAATATATAAATATCATTTATGCATAAAACACACACACGATACTTTAGGTGTCAGAAAAGTCGCTGTATCGAATTAAAAAATTATAAATTTTATTCGGTCAATATTTGTAATTACAGCATTGTAGATTTACAAATAGAAACACTTCATCTTGGGATTAGAAACTAAATATTATAATTTTATGTTTAAATTAATACTTTTGGGACACTCCGTATATAGGAATATATATGCATTCCTATATACTTTTTAAGCCCTTTTCAATCTTCTTTAAAGCGTTTCTTTATCGATCGATAAAAAGCAGATCAAATTTTAGATATTTTCTCCGCAAGTATATCTAAGATAGAGAGAAAAGTAAAAAAGTGCAAATTTCAAATGGATATTTCTAGAGATAGAAAAATAATCGATGATGACTTTTCCTTTCTTGATGTCAATAAAACGAATTTGATAAAGTGAGCAAATGAGAGAAAAAAAGATAGAGGGATTGACAAACGAGAATTGGAACGAGGAGGGATCGGATTAGATTACTGAAAGATTAGGAGTCCTCAAGTGCGATTAGTTTTTTTCGATCGTTCCAATAACCGATCGTCATTTACTCGTGTCACGAAATGCGCATCCATCGGAAACTACTTATTTTACCTGATATTTTCTTCAAACTCACATTGTGTAAGAAGTGTTCTCGTCGTCGAATCAAAAAGTAACCATCGACGAATGTGTTCCATTGAAGGAATTATTATAGTCATTAGGTCTGAATAATGTAATTGGTTATAATGACAACATAGTAAGGAGGATTTTATTTGGATTTCAGGAAAAAAATTCTTCGCGGTAACATTCATTGGATCGATCGTGTGGATAGCTGCATACTCGTACCTGATGGTCTGGTGGGCAAACGTTGCAGGTGATACCGTTGGTATTCCACCGGAAGTAATGGGTCTGACGTTCCTGGCTGCCGGTACCAGTATTCCCGATCTCATCACAAGTGTCATAGTAGCACGAAAGGGATTCGGTGATATGGCAGTATCGAGCTCTGTCGGTAGTAACATCTTTGACGTAACTGTTGGGTAAGCAAATTCATTATCATCATATCATAATTAACGACTGATCGATAGATTTCAATCTTTATTTATTAATTCCTATCTCTCATTCTGACTTTTCATAGTTAATTATGATCACGTATAAACCGGATCATCCATGAAAGTCCACTGCATTCATGAAAGCATAAATAAATTTATTTTAATTTATCATTATTCGATCATTCTATAATTATAAATGTGCAGGATGTCTCAAAACGCATTTTTGAAACAAATAAAAAAGGTTTAATATCAGATAAAAAATATAGCCAAATAAAAAGATAATATAGGTTAGTGATTTTAACTTAAACAAAAACGTTCCCGAGGAGGTCAACCTAATTCAAATTGGAATGAAGTTGGCGGTCAGTAGAGGAGAAACGGATTCGGCGGTCACGATGGTCGACCTATCGTGGTATTCTCGTTATCAGACAGTAATCGCGTTCGCCATTCGTTTCTCGTATTATTATATCGTTGATCGATCAAAATACCACGAATACTATGCCATACGTTATTCATTTCCCACCTTGAACCGCTAAGAATATTTCTCTCTCTCAAATCCGCGGATCAAATTTTAAGATATCACTAGATATCACGCCAATAGATTTTTACTCGCACAAATAAATACGCTAAGTATTCGTGACGTTATTTGCCATAATAATAAATTTTATTCTCTATAAATGTCACTTCTGCTTTCATAATAAAAGATATTTATTAAATAGAATTATTATTTTGCTGGTAAAAGATTATGCGAAAAAGAAACTGGGACATCCTGTATATATGTATATATATAATAATTTATTAAATAAAATTATATCAAATAAATAAGCTCGTATAGTTTAGATTATTTTTATGTAATCTTACATATATTGTTCATTTCCGAACAATTGATTACTCTTATGGACGAATCTTTGAAAATGAAATTATACTTTCGACTGAAGACGGAACAGTTCTGGCAGTCGATTTTTCATTGGAGAAACGATGAAAGGATAGAATCCGATCAACGGTCGATCGATCGCGATCGTTTTGTACAATCTAGCTCGGTATCTGCCAGTTGGCAAAGTGCCTGGAATCGGAAACGAACGAAGCTCTAGTTCCTTCATGTTTGTACAGAACGTTCTCTTTCGAAGTAAAGAATCTCATTTTGTAGGAGAAAACGTTTGCAAAAAAATCACTCAGATAATGTCCTTGATATTGATCGATCTATCGGTTTTACGACGAGGCCATCGAATAGAAGAAAGAAAAAAAGAAAAAAAGAAAAAAAGAATAAAAATAAAATATTTGATCTATATTTTACAATTCTAGTTTCTGCATTAATTATATTAAGAACTCTCCATCGGTATATATATACACACACACACACACGCACGCGCGCGCGCGCGTACACACGTACACACGTACATACGTACATATATGTATTTACTATGATTTAATATCGCAGTGATTTTCTTTTAAACAAAATTGTTAACAGGCTTCCGGTACCGTGGCTCCTCTACGGCTTGATCTATGGGAAGCCAGTGGAGGTGAACTCGGTGGGTATGGTGTGCAGCATAGCGATTCTGTTCTGCATGCTACTATTCGTGATTATAAGCATCGCCTGTTTCAAGTGGAAAATGAACAAGGGTCTCGGCTCCACGATGTTCCTCCTGTACTTCGCCTTCGTCGCTGTCTCGCTCATGTTCGAGTACGAGCTTCTCGTCTGTCCGGTCTAGGAACGAAAACAAGAGCTAAATGCTCCTGAACAATATTGTCTCGTGTTCGTCATTGCAAAATGTCACCAAAAATATCATCACCATCATCATCATTGTCATCATTGCCATCATTGTCATAATCATAATAATAATAATCATCATAGTTACCATCATCATCATCATAATCATCATCATCATTATGGTTATCATTGTCGTTATTATCATCAGCAAGAACAGCATCCTCGTCAACGAATCGACGATCTCTTCCTCGAGCTGAGGATTTGTGCGTTCTATCGATTTCATGAAAAAGGAAAAGGAGGAGGGGGGAGAAGGAGAAAGGGAACCTTTCCAGGACATCATCACCATCGACCACAACCACTACCACCATCACGAACTACTACTACTACAACTACTACTACTACTACTACTATTACTACTACTACTACTACTACTACTATTACTACTATCACTACTACCACTAGCACCAATACAGTCAAGCATCGCCACAGACACTCAACATCCACGTAAGAAGAACATAAAAAATGTTTCTTCTTTATAGTCGAAGATGTACATATTGTATAAACCTTGAAATACCTGAAACGAAATACTCATCTGATCTTAAGAAGATTCACGATGGCTCAAAACACGAGCTATCATTCGTTCGTTCGTTGAGAGACCTGGCGAGAGAGAGCGTGTCAGCCGATCGTGCCAAGGATTGATTACAAAGAAAGAATGGAAGAATTTAAAAAAAAAAAAAAGATAAAAAGACAAAAAGATTATTAGCAGAAAAACCAAAGAATCGTGTTCCTCTCTTGCTTGCTTCATATGTTATCTTGTAGAGAAAGAAAGAAAAAAAGAAAGGAAGAAAATAAAGAGAAAGAGAGGAGAAAAACAAATATTTATTTGTTAAATTATACAATTATATAAATGATATCACGTTTGATGATTAAAATAGAAGAAATAAGGGAAAGAGAGATAGAAAGAGAGTAAGGGAGAGAGAGAGAGAGTGAGGGAGGATGAGAGATCGAGAGAGATAAATATATGAAACAGTTAATCCAAAATTACTAATAAATAATTAATATATTAATTAAGAGATATGTTATTACTCGCGAGATAACTAATCCATCTATCGATACGCCAATTTTCGAACAGACGCAAATCATTTAATAAAAGAAAGGTGAGCCTACCTTTCTATTGTTGATATTACTATGATTATTATTGTTATTATTATTATTATTATTATTATTATTATTATTATTATTATTATTATTATTATTATTATTAAAATTATGAAACTTCATAATTTTTAATTTAGCATGCTTCTTCTCTCGGCGTTAAATACTTGAATACTAATGAATCGATTTATATATTCTAAATCTAACCCATCTTACTTAAGTATGTATATAACTATAATATCTTTTATCTCTTTAGAAAAACAAATAAAACTATATTGGAATTTATTGGTACGACCAGCTCTCTTTCTTTCTTTCTTTTTCTCTTTTTCACGCATTTTCTCTCTCTCTCTTTAATTTTCTGATCTAACTTTAACACTTAATACATTTCAAATTTGTTACGTATATCATTAGGATTTATTAGGAAAGAGAGCCATAGCAAGAACATTATCAAAATGGTGGTGATACCTCCGGTGTTTGAAAAGGAAAATATAAAATGTTGAAAAAGGGAGACAAAAAGAAAGAAAAAGAGAAAGAGTGAAGGTGAGAGAAAAAAACTATTTATAAGATGGGAAAAAAAATTAAATGATCTTTTAGAACGCTTATTGTGGTCAAGGAGTCTTTGTGACCACTCGTTCGCCTTACTGCTTTCTCTCTAAACAAATTTTTGCGTCTCTAGTGGCTAGAGTAGAAACTTTATACTCTCTGTCGTGCTCACGGAACCGTTTTCTATTCGAATATTTCCTGGATCGATCAGCAAAGCAAGTTTCGCGTATTCTTACTTTTCAAATTGAAAAGAAAGTGAGAGTGAGAGAGAGAGAGAGAGAGAGAGATAGTTAAAGGGATCGTCTTCAAATTGGCCTATAGGGTCTACGAGGACTATAATAAATAATTAGGGACTAAGAATTTTAATCCTCTATTTCCATTATTTTTACTCGTCAAAGTTAATTGCTTTTTCTTAATAATATTAATATCCAATTTAATATTATATAAAAACAAAACAAAATATTTGAGATTAATATTTCTGATTTTTTACTTTCCTTTTTTATTTTCATTTAAATAAGGTTTTAGAGGATTAAAAGCTTAGTCCGAATGATACGCACATATTATATACATACACTTACACATGCACGAATACGTACGTGTGTAGATACAAAAGAAACGTCGGCAGAACGTTTTTTTTTTTCCTTCGAAATGAAGGAGAGGGTTAATAAACGTTTTAAGAAAATGCGATCGATCGTAGGGCAATTGCATAATAGTCAAAATTACAAAAAGATATGTTTGTGTGTGTATGCAATACCATCCAGGTTCGAAAATATCTTTGTAGTTATTAAAGATAAATCATATGATCTTTGTGATACAAAAAAAAGGTTACATATTTATACATAAATATATTGTTATCTAATTTTTTAATCGTTCCATCCCCATTTATTGGTAATTATATTTTGTATTAAATAAAATATAAGTGTGTGTGTGTGTATTATTGAATTTTCGAACCACATGGTACAACATATATATACTTTGATTAATTATTTATTAATAAAAATCGTATTGATATTTCAATCGAAAAGATCATAAGATTGTTAATGAGAAATTCTAAGAGAAAAAAAAACGGTTCCGTTTTTTATTAAATTCGATTAATACTACTACCAAAAAACAATTCGTAAGAGGATAAGTACGAACAAGCCAAACTGGCCAGCCATCAATTCGCTCAAGATGGCGCCAAGCTATTATTATTGGCATTTTCAATTTCTAGAGATCGAAACGCGTTGTACGAGAATTGGTAAAGAAAAGAAAATAGAAAAAAGTAAAAAAAAGAAAACCATTGTAAAAAAAAAAAAATTCTTTAGATTTCAACACTCTTGTACCGCTTGTTCAATGCACTTTCACGTGTGTATAATATGAATGAATGAATTAAGCAAATTTACGCGAATAAAAGTCATCGATCAATTGAATTCTCGTACGACGATTTTCTTATAAAGGGCATTTCAAGATGGTCGAGTATCGATCGGATTCGAAAGCAAAGAAAAAGAAAGGGTCGATAATTCGAGAAAGAGAGAGAGAGAGAGAGAGAGAGAGAGAGATAGAAAGAGTTTAGAACGAAAACGAACTTTTTTTCTACAAAGTTAATAATAATTAAAAGTAAACAAAATAAATTGGGGACCCACGCGAAGAGAAATATGGTATTTTACAACGCGTAAGGTTACTCACAGTAGATACAAGGAACATAATCGTAAATCTCAACGAATCCGATAAATACGCGTTCAAAATGGACTCATTCTTTTTCTGAATTCTTTCACAATTTACGATGTCAAATACTGTGACACCTTGAAATGAGAGAAGAAGAAATAAGAAAGAGGGTTATACCTTTTAGAGACATAGCAAAAATACTATTATTACTATTATTATATCGTTATTACGTGTACACAAAGAGAAAGAAAAAGAGAGAGAGGGGGGAAAGGAGAGGAGAGAGAGAGAGAGAGTGAAATTTTTTATTAGAGTTATTAAAGAGATGAAAGAGAGAAATAGAAATAGGAAAAGAGAAAGGGAAAATGGTTAAAAAAGAATACAGAAGTTTGTATTGTATAAAATGTTTAACAAAAAAAAAATGAAATTTTAAACATCATAGAATTACTATAATTAATAAGGTGATCTCGACTATATTAATTATTAAGTATTAAGTGAAAACAAAAATACGTTATTAAAATAATGCATACCCAATAACAGCAAAATGAAAAAAGAAAGGACATGCGACTACACTTATATTACATATATAAATACATACCCGTATATATATATAAATATATACATACATTTAACACGCACAGATTTGAGAATAAAGAAAACCAAAAATATGTATTCGGTAGTGTCAGCGCCTAAAAGCGGCCTAGCTTTTTATTCGATTAAAACGGCAGAAATCCGAGAATGACGATGATGAAATTATTCTAATAAATTGCGAACAAAATGTTAAATAGTTAAATATCGACGTTTAACAAAATAGGGAGAGACATTAGGCTAGAAAAAATGTAAGTATAAGTAAATACTTTAAAACACATAGACCATTTTTCGAAGTCGAAATGACGATGTGATCGTTTCGTTTTTTCGAAAGATGGGACTTAGGAAGGGGTTGGTTAAAAAAAAAAAGAGAGATCTTTTAAAAGAGGAAAATGTATTTATCTTGCATATTTCATCCCCTTCTCCCTCCTTCTACCGATCGATTCAAAAGAAGAAAATTATTAAACGATGTTGAAGGCTTGTGAATCCGATCAAATTCATCTCTTCGGTATATTATTTATTTTACATATATATACGTAGGTTGGAACTTAAATAGTGGCAACTATTTATTCACAACTGATACAAAAGAGTTACATATTTGCTCCTGTTACTGTCCTTCAAAGTAGTCACCAGCGTTGTGTAGAACCCGTTGCCAGCGATGTGGAAGGCGTAATATACCGTTAGCAGAGCCTGTTCTGTTAATGGTGCGAATAGAGCGGTTTACTGCCATGTCTCATTCAGTGTTACGATACGGCATAAGAAAGCTTCTCCTTCGCGCTCATAGCGCTCCAAGTGCGTCTGAGCAGCGTCGTAACGCATCTATTTCTGCATTTCCGTCAATTCATGTGGAACCCATCGTGGCATTCGCTTCAGAACTGTTCCAGAGTTTCGACAGGCAGTAGACCGCTCCATTCGCACCATCAACAGAACAGGCTCTGCTAACGGTATACTACGCCTTTCAAATCGCTGGCAACGGGTTCTACACAACGCTGGTGACTACTTTGAAGGACAGTAACAAGAGCAAACATGTAACTCTTTTGTATCAGTCGTGAATAAATAGTTGCCACTATTTAAGTTCCAACCTACGTATATATAATATTTATATTAATTATATGTTTCATCATGATAATATTCTTTGAAATATTATTTCGATTTATGTTAATAATTTTTATTTTAGTTCGCCTCATAGAAGAAAGAGAAAGAGAAGAATACTCTTTTTTTTTTATTATTTACTCTTGCATTATATAACAACGAGAGAAGAGCTTAAAAATCGTTAACATTGGACGAATAAGATAAAGATAAGGAACGAGAGAAGAAAGATGTTTGACAAATCTAATTAGAGCCTATTTATTACTTTCATATCGACAAAGAGAGAGGACAGATTTGTTGAGGAACAATTTTCAAGATTTACAAATTGACGAGTTTGTTAAAAGTCGGAAAGAGAAATGTAGAGAATGGACGTAGTCGTATATGTATGTGTATGAGGAAAAAAAGAAGGAGAGAGAGAGAGAGAGAGAGAGAGAGAGAGAGAGAGAGAGAGTGAATGATCTAATTAATTACGCTTTTACGATAACAATTTTTCCGGCCGGCCTTGTTTTTTAAAAGATATTTCCAAAAAAAGAAAAATAAAAAAAAAAAGAGATAGTTACTAGTTATCAGAGAACGTCGTGTTTTAGAAAAATAAAAAAATAAAAATTGTTCTATATATAAATATATGAAAATTATTGGTATTACAAATTGAAGAGAAAAGTGTGGAGAAAAAAAAGAGAGATAAAAAAAATAACGATGTTTAATAAATAAGTTATTACGTAGAACTTACGATACACATGTTGTTAGCTTATAATAACGTGTGAACCAAAAACATTTAAAATGTAAAATTAAGTAGCGAAAAAAACGCAATACGATCTTC